TTCATGGTTTGGAAATCAGGAGAAGGTGTGGGATTACCAAAACTATTATCCAGAGGACTGAGGAGGGGTTGTTGAGGTGGTTCGGACATGTAGAGAGAATGGAACAAAACAGAATGACTTCGTGTGTGTATAAATCCGTAGTGGAGGGAAGGCGGGGTAGGGGTCGGCCTAGGAAGGGTTGGAGGGAGGGGGTAAAGGAGGTTTTGTGTGTGAGGGGCTTTGATTTCCAGCAAGCATGCATGAGCGTATTTGACAGGAGTGAATGGAGACAAATGGTTTTTAATACTTGGCGTGCTGTTGGAGTGAGCAAAGTAACATTTATGAAGGGATTCAGGGAAACTGGCAGGCCAGACTTGAGTCCTGGAGATGGGAAGTACTGTCTACACTCTGAAGGAGGGGCATTAATGTTGCAGTTTTATAACTGTAGTGTAAAGCACCCCTCTTGCAAGACAGTGATGAGTGAATGATAATGAAAGTTTTTCTTTTTCGGACCACGCTGCCTTGGTGGAAATCGGCCGATGTGTTAATAAAAAAAAAAAATCTAAGTTGTTTGCTGGGCTATCTTACTGAAACTTGGACGATAAATAACAGAGTTCACTTCTCAGCCATTATTTGCCCATTAGTTTTTATGGTTGTATTCTAGTTTCTTTGGTCTCATTTGATAGAATGGAAGATATATTACAGAAATAAATATGATTTTGATTGGTTTCACAATGAAAAGTACCTTGAAATTGAGCTCAAGGTAGTGAATGTGTTCAATTTTTGCCAATGTTCAATGTATACAAATTATATCTCTTGCCCAATACATGTCAGCTGGTGGGTCTAATATGCAAGCCTGTAGGCATATGTGTGACATTCAAAAGTGGGCCATTGCTAAATGGGAGGTGGACACAAAAAGAAAGCTAGCAACAGGTAGGGTAGGCCCCAAAACCTGGTGGTCCCTGGTCAAGGACAGACAAGGTTATCTGCCTGATGAATTCATTCCACCTCTAAATCGACAGGATCGGACCACCTCTACTAGTAGTCAAGAGAAGGTGGACCTCTTTGCCGAACACTTTGCTACCAAAATGCAAGTTCCTGATCCAGCAAGGGACCCTCCTTGGCTAGCTGCAAGAACTGTGTCAAAACTGTCAGTGGTGACAATAAGGCAGGAGGAGGTGCATTTCCTTCTTAAATCACTTGACCAAGAAAAGGCTGTGGGCCCAAGCTTGCTGAGAAGATGTGCAGACCAGCTAGCAGCACCTTTAACTCGCATCTTTCAGCACTGCCTAGTACAGTGTAAATGACCCTCTCTGTGGAAAGATGCAAATGTAGTCCCTGTTCACAAAAAGAAGAGCAGAGCAGAAATCAGCAACTACAGACCAGTGTCACTCCTGTCAATCACTGGTAAGATCCTTGAGACAATCTCAAGACAAATGACAGTTTTTTGACTACCACTCACTACTTTGTGACTCTCAATATGGCTTCAGGAAAGGTTACTCTGATGCTGATCTGTTGTTAAACCTCTCCACTAAGTGGCACCAGTCACTGGAAGAATCCAAAGTCAGCTGTGTGGTAGCATTGGACATTGCTGGTGCTTTCAACCAGGTGTGGCACCAGGGCCTCTTAGCAAAACTTCAAGCACTGGGAATTGCAGGCTCTACACTATGTCTCCTCAGTGATTACCTTCATGGTAGATCTCTATGGGTAGTTCTCAATGGAATGGAATCAGCAAGACATCCTATTGGGGCAAGTGTTCCACAAGGAAGTGTGCTGGGACCATTGTTATGGAATGTCTACTTCAATGACCTTCATCTCATCCCAGAATCCCATGCATATGCAGACGAATGTACACTGACATTCACTTATCCAAGAGAAGAAATAACAGCTGCTCTAAGCTACATCCTAAGTTTACATCCCAGGGCTTTCAAAGACATGACTGTTTCCTGTGATTTACCATGCCAACAAAAAAGGATGGATAACAACTGACATTACATTTAACTGGTTTGAAAATCATTTGTTCCAGAAGCAAGAGCTCACTTTGACTGTTGGTTTGAACCACAACTTTATGATGCTTATTTTAGACAACTGTTCCACACATCCGAAAGCAGAACTTCTGGTAAAAAACAATGTTTTCGGTATCTACCTCCCACCTAACTGCACATCACTAATTCAACCCCAGGACAATGGCATACTACGTTCTTAGGTATAGCACCCATTTTATGAGGCGCCTACTGAGTGCAGTCAACTCTGGCAGACCAGTACCTGAGTTTCTTAAGGAATTTAATGTGAGAGATATAGTTTACTGTGTTGCCAATGCTTGGAGGTCTGTAGAGGCATCCACACTGAAAAATGGATGGCATAAATTGTGGCCAGGGTTAATGTTCGAAACTGCACCTGGGGAAGACATTGAAAATGACTACAGGATTTAGGGCTTCAAAGGAAAAACAGATTATACATAGTCAGCTTTCTTTTGCTAGTGATCTGACTGATCCTGCTGCGAAGGATCGCATCGAGGATGGATGAAGATAATGTTGGGGAATGGATGAATGTAGATGAAGATGCAGCTACTGTACAACAGTATACTGACTCAGAAATTGTGCAGATGGTTATAAATCCACAGCAGCAAGCCAATGGAGGAGAAAACAGTGATGAAAATGAAGATGCAGCAGATAGTCTCTATTGATAAACTAATCAGCTGACAGGTGAACTGCTATAAGGTCTAGAGGAATGCAGTTTTATAAGTGAACAAGAAATAATGAACATTTACATGCTGCAAGATAAACTAATCAAAGAAAGGCTAAAATACATGAAACAGCTCAGCTTGCAAGATTTTTATTTTTTATTATCACACTGGCCGATTCCCACCAAGGCAGGGTGGCCCGAAAAAGAAAAACTTTCACCATCATTCACTCCATCACTGTCTTGCCAGAAGGGTGCTTTACACTACAGTTTTTAAACTGCAACATTAACACCCCTCCTTCAGAGTGCAGGCACTGTACTTCCCATCTCCAGGACTCAAGTCCGGCCTGCCGGTTTCCCGAATCCCTTCATAAATGTTACTTTGCTCACACTCCAACAGCACGTCAAGTATTAAAAACCATTTGTCTCCATTCACTCCTATCAAACACGCTCACGCATGCCTGCTGGAAGTCCAAGCCCCTCGCACACAAAACCTCCTTTACCCCCTCCCTCCAACCTTTCCTAGGCCGACCCCTACCCCGCCTTCCTTCCACTGCAGACTGATACACTCTTGAAGTCATTCTGTTTCGCTCCATTCTCTCTACATGTCCGAACCACCTCAACAACCCTTCCTCAGCCCTCTGGACAACAGTTTTGGTAATCCCGCACCTCCTCCTAACTTCCAAACTACGAATTCTCTGCATTATATTCACACCACACATTGCCCTCAGACATGACATCTCCACTGCCTCCAGCCTTCTCCTCGCTGCAACATTCATCACCCATGCTTCACACCCATATAAGAGTGTTGGTAAAACTATACTCTCATACATTCCCCTCTTTGCCTCCAAGGACAAAGTTCTTTGTCTCCACAGACTCCTAAGTGCACCACTCACTCTTTTTCCCTCATCAATTCTATGATTCACCTCATCTTTCATAGACCCATCTGCTGACACGTCCACTCCCAAATATCTGAATACGTTCACCTCCTCCATACTCTCTCCCTCCAATCTGATATTCAATCTTTCATCACCTAATCTTTTTGTTATCCTCATAACCTTACTCTTTCCTGTGTTCACCTTTAATTTTCTTCTTTTGCACACCCTACCAAATTCATCCACCAATCTCTGCAACTTCTCTTCAGAATCTCCCAAGAGCACAGTGTCATCAGCAAAGAGCAGCTGTGACAACTCCCACTTTGTGTGTGATTCTTTATCTTTTAACTCCACGCCTCTTGCCAAGACCCTCGCATTTACTTCTCTTACAACCCCATCTATAAATATATTAAACAACCACGGTGACATCACACATCCTTGTCTAAGGCCTACTTTTACTGGGAAAAAATTTCCCTCTTTCCTACATACTCTAACTTGAGCCTCACTATCCTCGTAAAAACTCTTCACTGCTTTCAGTAACCTACCTCCTACACCATACACTTGCAACATCTGCCACATTGCCCCCCTATCCACCCTTGCAAGATATGTTAAAAAAAATAACTAAGAAGCATGCAAAAGAGGAGTAACCACTTGAAAATCTAGTGCCTCCAACATCTCAGCGTGATATGCTGCCACTGTCATCATCAGTTCCTGATATCCCAGTCACCTTCCAAGATGAAGAAGATGGCAATCCTGACAGCCTTCCACCTCAAGACACATAAATGTGTTTAGTTGTAAATTTCAGCTATTCACTCTGGAAGCAGCAGTGGTGAACTTTCTTGTGTAAGTTAAGTTGGTTAACTTTATTAAGTGTATTCTAACCTAACCACTCTGTAATCTGGCAAACTCAAAAATCCGGCACACTACAGGTCCCAATGATGCCAGATTTGTGATGGCGGACCTGTATCCATAAAAAAACTACTGCTTTCAGCAACCCATCATTATTCCATACATTTCCAACATCTGCTACACTGCTCTTCCCTCATCTATCAAATACCTTTTCTTAATCTCTGAGTGTAACAAACAGTTCCTTAAATTTATATGAGCAATGTTCACTTATATGCTTCAATGTAATAACTTGGTTTACACACACATCAACCTTATTAAATTCTCTTTGTTCCTCCACAAACCTTTCAGTCTTACCCCAATACTTTCAACAATAATTCTATTACATACTTTCCCTATTAAGAATTAAAAGTCACAGTAACAGGGTTGGAACAATTCACAGAAAGAAACATCCTCATAAGGTTCCTCTATGAGGAGCAGATTTTGGGAGAAAAACTCTCCCTACCAATGTAGGGAATATATTTTGTGTATGAGTACCTGTATCTTGAAACTTTCAGTTTAGTTTGTCATTCAGATAATGGAAAATTACAGTACGTTCATTGAGAATGAATGACTTACTCTTCTGCCACATCACTGCCTTCTTCACCAGGGGCAAAGTCTTCATCTTCACTAGAGTCTTCCTCATCATCGTCATCACGTTCTTTAGCTTCCTCACGTACTCGTCTCATGTAAGGGTCAGGTTCATCAGCATCACTATCAGCGAAGTCATCCTTTCGACCACCCATTTCCTAAAATAATCTACACATGAGTAGGAATATACACACCTGCACACACAAAATAAAAGAATAAATAAAGAGTGTGAGTGAGAGTGTAAGTGTGAGAGAGTGAGAGAGTGAGAGAGTGAGAGAGTATGAATGTGTGTGTGTATATGTGTGTATATGTGTGTATATGTGTGTATATATGTGTGTGTGTGTGTGTGTGTGTGTGTGTGTGTGTGTGTGTGTGTGTGTGTGTGTGTGTGTGTGTGTGTGTGTGTGTGTGTGTGTGTGTGTGTGTGTGTGTGTGTGTGTGTGTGTGTGTGTGTGTACTCACCTAGTTGTACTCACCTAGTTGAGGTTGCAGGGGTCGAGTCCAAGCTCCTGGCCCTGCCTCTTCACTGGTCGCTACTAGGTCACTCTCCCTGAACCATGAGCTTTATCGTACCTCTGCTTAAAGCTATGTATGGATCCTGCCTCCACTACATCGCTTCCCAAACTATTCCACTTCCTGACTACTCTGTGGCTGAAGAAATACTTCCTAACATCCCTGTGATTCATCTGTGTCTTCAACTTCCAACTGTGTCCCCTTGTTGCTGTGTCCCATCTCTAGAACATCCTGTCTTTGTCCACCTTGTCAATTCCTCTCAGTATTTTGTATGTTGTTATCATGTCCCCCCTTTCTTTGGGACCATGGTGGCTTATTTAGCAGTCACACACAATAAACAAATGCCAAAAAAATGGATTATTATGAAATGTTTAGTATGACCTGGCAGGATATGTTCACTCACCAAGAAACAACTCGACACTGCATCAGAATGCGTGTAGGAGGCGGCTTTGTGTGCACGCTGGGCACTGGATGGGTTCCATGCCATCGACGAAAACGGAACCAATATTTTGACGAAAAAAATTGGCGAAAACAGAAATCGGGGATAACTGAGATCGACAAAAAGGGAGGGTCCACTGTATTTTAAATGTCATTATTATGTCCCTCCTGTCTTCCAGTGTCATCAGGCTGACTTCCCTTAACCACTCCTCATCAGGAATACCCCTTGGCTCTGGGACTAATCTTGTTGCAAACCTTTGCACTTTAATTTATTGATGTCCTTGACCAGGTGTGGATTCCATATTGGTGCTGCACACTCCAATATGGTCCTGACGTACACACTGTACAGTGTGTGTATTGAATGACTCCTTATCTAGGTTTGCCAGGCATCCATATGCTGCAGCTGTTACCTGGTTGATGTGTGCCTCAGGAGATGTGCTCAGTATGATGTTCACCCCAAGATCCTTTTCCTTAAGTGAGTTTTGCAGCCTCTGACCTAGGCTGTACTTCGTCTGCTGTCTTCCTTCCCCAAACTTCGTGACTTTGCACTTGTGGGGTTAAACTCCAGGAACTATTTGTCAGACCAGGCTTGCAGCCTGTGCAGATCTTGTAGGCTTACCTGATACTCAACCGCTTATATTCTCATTAGCTTCACATCATCTTCGAACAAGTATACCTCTGAATTTATCCCTTCTATCATGTGATTCATATATATGTACTAGAAACAGCACCGGACCTAGGACTGACCCTCGTGGAATCCCACTTGAAACATTCACCCACTCTCGACACCTCGTTACATACCAACACCCTCTGTTTCCTTCCTGTCAGGTATTCCCTGATCCATTGCAGTACTCTCCCTGCTATTCCTGCCTGCTCCTCTAGCTTTTCAACCAGTCTCTTGTGTGGTACTGTATTGAAAGCCTTTTTACAGTCTAAGAAGATGTGGTCTACCCATCCCTCTTTTTCCTGTCTTACTTCTGTTACCTTATTGTAGAACTCCAGTAGGTTTGTGATGCAGGATTTTCCTTCCCTGAAGACATGCTGGTATTTCACCACTTTTCTCCTGATTATCTTCTCCATAACTTTACATACATGTCAGAAACAGGTGTCGGTAGTGTAGTGCTGCCTGTCCGTCTCCTTAAAAACTGGGACTACAATTGCTATCTTCCACACCTCAGATAGTTGCCCTGTTTCAACAGATTACTGTTAGTGCCACACACACAGTACATCTTCTCCATCTCTAAGGACCCAAAGAGAAATGTTATCTGGGCCCACCGCCTTCAAGGTATCTAGTTCACCTAGCAATTTCTTCACCTCCTCCTCGGTTGTGTGCAGTGTGTCTAGCACTTGCTAGTGCACCCTACTCCCTCAGTTTGCTGGAAGCCTCTCTGTCTCCACTGTGAATACCTCCCTGAATCCTGAGCTGAGCTCCTCACATACTTTCTTGTTGCTCCCTGTGAGCTCCCCTTTTTCCTTCCTCAGCCTGATCACCTAGTCTTTGACTGTTGCTGTGTCCTCCTGATGTTGCTGTGTAACAGCTTTGGGTCAGATTTGGCTTTTGATGCTATGTCATTCTCATTTTGTTGCTGAGCCTCTCTCCTTATCCATGCATATTCATTTCTGGCTCTTCAGCTCAACTTCCTGCTGTCCCAAGTCCTTTGCCTTCTATATTTTGTCCATGCTCCAACATATTTGGCTTTGGACTCTCCACACCTCTGGGTAAACCATGGGCTCACTCTGGTCTTCCCACTGTTTCTGTTGCCCCTTGCCATGAACTTCTCCTCTGCCTCCTTGCACTCTGCAGTCACGTGTTCCATCATTTTGTTTACTGTCTTCCCCTCTAGCTCTCTTACCCACTGCACCTCGTTCATCCCTCTCCATCTACGCCTGCAGTACTTCTGTACCACATGTCCCAAAGTGGTAGGGCCACTTGACTGTTTTCCTCCTCTCCTCCTCCCTCCCATCCTTTTCCAGTATTTCCATCCTCATCCTTCTTCCTTCCCATCTCACGACAGCTCTGGTCGCCTTCTTCGTGCTTCATGCCTCATACATGTGTAGTCCCCTTTTTTGAAGTTTGGTGTCTCCTGTCACTCTCGTGCTGCTTCATCCTTTATTGTTAACTATTATGCATTCAAAACTCAGAACCACGTGATCACAGTACCAAAGAGCATATTGTGTGTAATATCCCCTATGTCTGAAGTGTTCAAGGTGAATCTGAGGTTCAGCCTTGCTGGTTCATCATCTCCTCTTTCTCTGGTTGTGTCCCTAACATGTTAGTACATTAAGCTTTCCAGCACCACATCTAGCATCTTGGTTCTCCACATCTCCGGTCCCCCATGTGCCTCCAGATTTTCCCAGTCTATCTCCTTGTGGTTGAAATCCCCCATCATGAGTACTTCGCCCTACTTACATGGGCCCCTCTGGCCACCTCGGCCAGTGTAACCACCATCAGTCTGTTGCTCTCACTGTATTCTTGTCTTGGTCCCTTACTGTCCACTGGCAGATTGTACATCACTGCTACCATCACTTTTGGCCCAGCAGCTAGAGGAGCTCCTACTATGTAGTCATCCGATTCACCTATGACTAGTCCTCCCATCTCCTCAAAACTCCATTGTTCTTTGATAAGCAATGCAACTCCTCCTCCTCCTTCCCCTCTGTTCTTCCATCTTCCCTCAAGATCTGATACTCAGACAGGAAGATCACATATGTTATTACTCCTGTGAGCTTTGTCTTTACTCGCATATATGTACTCACCTATATGTGGTTGCAGGGGTCGAGTCATAGCTCCTGGCCCCGCCTCTTCACTGGTTGATACTAATTCACTCTCCCTGCTCCATGAGTTTTATCATACCCCATCTTAAAGCTATGTATGGAACTTAAAGCTATGTATGGAACTGTGTGCGGGTACGTGCATGTGTGTGCATGTGAGAGCACGTAAATTCACAACTCTTACACTATTTTATAAAACTAATCAAAATTGAATCTATAAGACTTTACCAGAATTTAAAAATTAATGAAACAGAATATTATACAGTATAAGGAAAGTGGGAGAGAAAAGAAAAAGAAGAATTTAAGGGCAGACAGAACAGGAACAAACAATACCAATATGAATGCATGTTGTGGATTTTTGCCAACAACTTATAATATACACTGTTGGCTAGACATCTCCATACAAATTCAGGCATTTTTACAATGGCAAATTAAAGTGTTAGGCTTACCATTTTTCCTCTATTCTTGATTCTCAATTTCTTCTGATTTACATAATCAAACAAGCGATTGTACTCCCCCTTCTCAATGCTGCTGAAGGTATTGATGACTCCATTCTTAACCTCAACCTTATTCAGAAACAAAAAATTAAATAAAAAATATTCATAAGAAATTCAGACACAAAAACACTTTTTTATTATAATGCAAAAATTTATATAATTGCTAAGGAATATGTTTTATACAAAAAATCAGGCTTACAGTCAGTGCTAAACAAATGCTATAAGAAAAAAGTCAAAAGACATGCTATAAAACGTTTCCTAAAACTAAGAAAGATGAGCTATAAAGAAAGACTGACAATACTTTTTAAATGCCCATGTTGGCTGATAAGATGTATAATAAATTATTATAAAATTATATGCTAAAATCAATGAAGTTGATTTCTAGCACAATCAAGTGAGAGAGGGGCCGCACTTGTAAACTGGGAAGAGAAAGAAGTGCCTGAAAGATACATAATTTTTTCATAAGCAGATCAGTGGAATGGGATGCAAAAGAAAGCACAATATTAAGTGCTACTCACCCTACCAAGTTTAAGATAATCATATGACAAATTGAAAATGAATGATAAGAATGATGATTACATCTCTTCTCCAGTAATTACAATCAGGTATACCTGTGATAATGCTTTTTGACTTATCAAAGAACAATAGCATAAAAACTGCAACTCATTTGTCACATACCTTTTACTCAAATCTATATATTTCTTAGATTTAAGCATTTATTTTCCCTCTTTCTTTCCACAATTGATCATTTAATATTACCACTACTTCTTTAACCTTAGTTCTTTTAGATGCACTTGATTTAAAGCTCCTTTTAGCTCTTTTGCTTAAGTGCTATGACATCCAACTTCATTTCTTTCATAAAACTAAATTATTCAGTATTTTATGTACTACATATATCATAAACATAGGTAGTAGGTTGGTAGACAGCAACTGCCCAGGGAGGTACTACTGTCCTGCCAAGTGAGTGTAAAACGAAAGCCTGTATTTGTTTTACATGCTGGTACGATTGCTGGTGTCCTTTTTTTCGGTATCATGAACATGCAAGATTTCAGGTATGTCTTGCTACTTCTACTTACACTTAGGTCACACTACACATACATGTACAAGCACATATATATATATATACACCCCTCTGGGTTTTCTTCTATTTTCTTTCTAGTTCTTATTCTTGTTTATTTCCTCTTATCTCCATGGGGAAGTGGAACAGAATTCTTCCTCCGTAAGCCATGCGTGTTGTAAGAGGCGACTAAAATGCCGGGAGCAAGGGGTTAGTAACCTCTTCTGTATATATTACTAAATGTAAAAGGAGAAACTTTCGTTTTTCCTTTTGGGCCACCCCGCCTCGGTGGGATATGGCCGGTGAGTTGAAAGAAAGATATATCATAAAGTCAAAATCAGTCTCATACACTCAATAAACTAAATTTCTATGAGCTTAAAAAAAAAAGATATAAAGTACAGGAGGGCCCTGCTTTACGGCGATTCGCTAACAAGGATATTTCAAATTACAGTGGACCCTCGCCTAACGCTATTAATCCGTTCCTGAGAGCTCAATGTTAGGCGAAATTATCATTAGGCGAATTAATTTTCCCCATAAGAAATAATGGAAATCAAATTAATCCATTCCTGACACCCCAAAGTATGAACAAAAAAAAATTTTTACCACATGAAATACAGTGGACCCCCGCATAACGATTACCTCCGAATGCGACCAATTATGTAAGTGTATTTATGTAAGTGCGTTTGTACGTGTATGTTTCGGGGTCTGAAATGGACTAATCTACTTCACAATATTCCTTATGGGAATAAATTCGGTCAGTACTGGCACCTGAACATACTTATGGAGTGAAAAAATATCGTTAACCGGGGGTCCACTGTATTAATTTTAATACACACAAACTGAAGAAGACATGCACAATTACATGACACTTACCTTTATTGAAGATCTGGTGATGATTGATGGGATGGGAGGAGGGGAGAGTGTTGATGGTGTTAGTGTTTAGAAGGGGAATCCCCTTCCATTAGGACTTGAGGTGGCAAGTCCTTTTCCGGGGTTACTTCCCTTCTTTTAAAGCCACTAGGACCAGCTTGAGAGTCACTGGACCTCTGTTGCACAACATATCTGTCCATAGAGGCCTGTACCTCCCGTTCCTTTATGACATTCCTACAGTGTTTCACAACATTGTCAGTGTAATAGTCACCAGCACGGCTTGCAATAGCTGTGTGAGGGCGATTTTCATCAAAAATGGTTTGCACTTTGAGCCACATTGCACACATTTCCTTAATCTTTGAAGTAGGCAACTTCTTCAATTTCTCTATCCCCTCCTCCGAAGTAGTTTCCTCAGGAGTCGCCTCTTGCTGTTGAAGATGATCTAGCAGCTCATCAGTGGTTAGTTCGTCATTGTCCTCCTCCACCAACTCTTCCACATCCTCCCCACTAACCTCCAACCCCAAGGACTTCCCCAATGCCACAATGGATTCCTCAACTGACATAGGATTCCCAGGGTTAGCCTCAAACCCTTCAAAATCCCTTTTGTCTACACATTCTGGTCACAGTTTCTTCCAAGCGGAGTTCAAGGTCCTCTTAGTCACTTCCTCCCAAGCCTTACCTATAATGTTTACACAACTGAGGATGCTAAAGTGATCTCTCCAAAACTCTCTTAGAGTCAATTGAGTTTCTGAGGTCACTACAAAGCACCTTTCAAACATAGCTTTTGTGTACAGTTTCTTGAAGTTGGAAATGACCTGCTGGTCCATGGGCTGCAGGAGAGGAGTGGTATTAGGAGGCAAAAACTTGACCTTAATGAAGCTCATTTCCGCAGAAAGTCGCTCTGCCACATCTGAAGGATGACCAGGAACACTGTCTAATACCAGGAGGCACTTAAGATCTAATTTCTTTTCAATTAGGTAATTTTTCACAGTGGGGGCAAATGCATGGTGTAACCAGTCACAGAAAAAGTCCCTAGTGGCCCATGCCTTACTGTTTGCCCTCCACAGCACACACAAATTAGCCTTGAGGACATTGCTTTTCCTGAACACTCTGGGAGTTTCAGAGTGATACACCAATAAAGGCTTCACTTTGCAATCACCACTAGCATTGGCACACATCAACAGAGTAAGCCTGTCTTTCATAGGCTTATGTCCTGGGAGTGCCTTTTCCTCCTGAGTAATGTAGGTCCTGCTTGGCATTTTCTTCCAAAACAGGCCTGTTTCGTCACAATTAAACACTTGTTCAGGTTTCAGTCCTTCACTGTCTATGTACTCCTTTAATTCCTGCACATATTTTTCAGCCGCTTTATGGTCCGAACTGGCAGCCTCACCATGCCCTATCACACGATGTATGCCACTACGATTCTTAAATCTCTCAAACCAACCTTTGCTGGCCTTAAATTCACTCACATCATCACTAGTTGCAGGCATTTTTCTAATTAAATCGTCATGCAATTTCCTAGCCTTTTCACATATGATCGCTTGAGAGATGCTATCTCCTGCTATCTGTTTTTCGTTTATCCACCCCAATAACAGTCTCTCAACATCTTCTATCACTTGCGATCTCTGTTTCGAAAACAAAGTTGCACCTTCGGCAAGAACAGCTTCCTTGATTGTCATTTTCTTTGCCACAATAGTAGCGATGGCTGATTGGGGTTTTGTGTACAACCTGGCCAGCTCGGAGACACTCACTCTACTTTCATACTTAGCAATGATCTCTTTCTTCATATCCATAGTAATTCTCACTCTTTTTGCTGTAGGGTTGGCACTAGAAGCTTTCTTGGGGCCCATGGTGACTTATTTCGCAGGTGTAATCACTAAAAAGGCTGTGATAATATGAAATGTTCCGATTGTATGCTTGGAAGTGACCGAGGTGGCTGGCTTGTAAACACTGGCACCCACGGAACAAGTGAGGCGGGCTCAGGCCGCACGTGGACGCGTCTCGAATGAATCGCGTTGAGCGAGTTTTTAGCACTAGCCGAGGCAAAATTTTTGCGTTAAAATGTATCGCTAGGCGGATTTAACGTTATGCGATGCGTGCGTTAGGCGAGGGTCCACTGTACAACCAAAACTTCATTTATACAGCTCTCAGAGTCGCTATTACAGCGTCCACGCACCTCCTCTGGAAACTTTGCAAAATTTAAAGTGTTTTAAAGTTACTGTGCATTTTATATATACACCTACCATCCGACTTACGACCGAGTTCGGTTCCGAGAAACCGGTCGTAAGTTGAAATGGACGTAAATCGAACTTTACTACTGAATATCAACATAACATTTTTGTAATGTCTTTATTTTATTGTTTTATTTTCGTATTTCATGTTTTACTTTACTTTTTATGCTGTTAGTACTGTATTTTATACAGTAAGGTTTAGGATAAACACTGTGTACAACACAAACACTTGTTTATTTCCCAGAAATTTGGCATAAAAAACACGGTTGTAAGTCGAGTCATCAAATGTCAAGCAGGTCGTTAGTCGGATGGTAGATGTATTGTAATAAACAGAAAAGAGAAACTCAGCTCTAATATACATTATTTAGGTATGCATACTGGTCAGAGCCCGTCGTAAGTCCGAATCGTCAGTAAACAAGTACAGTGGACCCCCGGTTAACGATTTTAATCCGTGCAAGAGGGCTCATCGTTATGCGAAATAATCGTTATGCGAATGAATTTTCCCCATAAGAAATAATGGAAATAAAATTAATCCGTGCAAGACGCCCAAAAGTATGAAAAAAAATTTTTTTTACCACATGAAATGTTAATTTTAATACACACAAACTGAAAAAGGCATGCACAATTAAATGACACTTACTTTTATTGAAGATCTGGTGATGATTGATGGGATGGGAGGAGGGGAGAGCATTATCTTCTTACTGTTTAGAAGGGGAATCCCCTTCCATTAGGACTTGAGGTAGCAAAGTCCTTTTCTGGGGTTACTTCCCTTCTTCTTTTAATGCCACTAGGACCAGCTTGAGAGTCACTGGACCTCTGTCGCACAACAAATCTGTCCATAGAGCTCTGTACCTCCCGTTCCTTCAAGACTTTCCTAAAATGGGCCATAACATTGTCATTGAAATAGTCAC